TTGTCCAGGCATTTGGGGTGTGAAGAAGCCAATGGAAGGTCTCTCTCTTTCAGTTTTCTCTCTCCTCCCTTTCCTTTCTTTCACCCTCCGTCTTTCTAATAAATAATTTAAATAAATCATAAAATGGAAAGTTCTTTCATTAACATTACAAAATGTTAGTATCTATAAAATATTACGTGTTTCATGACTGTTTAAATTTGTTGCGTTAAAAAGAGTTTCTTTTTAAAGACAAAATTCATTGACTTTTTAAAGATTTATTCTATTTATTTGAAAGGCAGAAGTACAGGTGCGGTGATGAGAATCTGATCTTCTGTTCACTGACTCCCTCCAAAATGGCAATGGTCAGGAACAGCCCGGAAGCTTTAGGAGCCGAGATACTCAACAACAAGCTGGATTGAAAGTGGAGTATCCAGGCCTGGAACGGGGACTCCAGTGTGATACCACAGTGTCTTGTGTGGTAGAAATGAATTAACTTGATGCTCAAAGCACAACACATTACATTATTTTGTACAAGGTAATTAACTGATGCATCATCTTGCCAACTTATGGTAAGAATATAACAATCCGGCTTATTTATTTTAAAACATACAATACATTATTTTAATTATAGTGTGCTTAAGCGCAGTAGACATCTAAATTCATTCTTCCACTTAATTGAAACGTTTTACCCTTTATTCAGTATTTTCTCTTTTTTCATCTATCAGCCTCCACCAGTCACCATTCCACTCTATTTACTTGGTTTATTTCATTAAATGTAATTCCTCCAGTTTCAACCACATTGTCACAAACGACCATCTTAACGTATCAAGTTATTCCATTTTGTACACACACCACTTCTTGAGTTCTGTATCTCTATTCTGTTCCCTAGGTCTCAATAGCATTTATACAAATAACCAAATTTATGACAGACAATTTCCTGCAGTAGGGAAATACCATGAGCAATGCACTTACAACTATGTTCTCATTTTTCAAGTCAGTTTAGATAGCATTCTATAGTGTTGTATTTCATTAGTTTCCAATTCTTTTCTTAACAAGAAAATTCCTAAGGAGAAGAGAATACTACAGTACATCACTGCAAGTTTCCATAGCTCACTTTGTTTTCCATTGCCCCTCACACAATCCTTCCATAATCCTGACATCAATGTAGGTGCCAAATGAAAAGGGGTGGGCGTTTAACTGCAGCCTGTTATCTCTTACTTTGGCACCAATACTCCTGATGCTTTATCTTGAAAGTTGGATTCCTATCAGCAAGATCATCCTGTTATGAATATAATGAATGTGAAGTTACTTTTCATGTTCTGTTGACTACTTCTCAGGGAATTCTAGTTATCATCCTACTGCCCCATATTCAAATATAAATAGAAAATAAATGATTTTTAGTAAAAATAGATTGGCAGCTACCATTTCCTGCATCTATAATTTCAGCACTTATTTAAGCTCAAATATCATGAGTGCAACCATCTAGATTTTTAGTGATGACAAAATTTCTCCAAGGTGCATCAGCATTTCATGAAGTATGAATAAGAATAAACTTGACATTACACAACAAAGTTTTAATGTTCTGTCATAATGAGAAACAAAATTCTGCACAAAGAGAACCAACTTCACTCCTTGCCACAATTATTATTTATGACAGTCTTATTACATCAATTTTGACAGGAACAATGGTCACACCTTTAACTATTTGATATCCCATTCATTTGTAACCAATCCTTTGTTATACACATAAATAAATTTCTGAACTCGTGCCAATATCCAATGACATGAGCAGACACAGTGTGAAGAGGTTTACTCTAAGAACCTGGGAGAGTTATATGCATTATTTAATTTTATTTTTGTTTATATTGAATCTACAAGAAAATACAAGTTTAAGTGAGAATTACAATTGCAGTAAAGGCCTTTCATTGAGACATAAAAGAGAACACAGGACAAAATTTAATTACATATAATTTAACTGCATTTCAAATTAGGAAGCATTAAAGATACAGTATAAGAAATTTTTAGGGGGCAAGCATGCAGCATACCGTTGCCTATGAAGTCAACATATTTGGGCACTGGCTTTTACCCTGGCTGCTCCGCTTAAGATTCATCTTCTTGCTAAACCACAGAAAACAGCACAAAATAATCCATGTTTAGGCCCCTGTATCCAAAATGGTGATCCTCACAGAATTGTGGGCTCCTGGATTTGACCAGATTCAACCTTAGCCACCGGGGAATCAAGGAAAACATACAAAGTGTTCCCTCTCTGTTTTTCTCACTCTCTCATTCGTGTTCCCTCTGTGTCATTCCATACAGATAACACTGACTTTTCAGTAAGTTTTTAAGAGAAACAATATTTAATAAAATACTAATTTGAGATTAAATGTGTATAGTTCCCTGAGGGATGAGATAAGTTTGAAATGTTTTTTTCTCAAAATTTTACTTTTTATTTTCAGTTATTAGTTTTACTCTGGTAGTAATACACACTTCAGCTTTTTGTCTTTTTTTTTTTGTATTTACTTTGTAAAACCTACAAAATAAGCACAAAACACCTATATGAACTATACAACAGTACTGCAATAATATGTTATGCTTTGATTGAATGATATCATGTGAAAGAGATAATTTTGAAAAAGAAAAACCTAAGGGAGTCAGTTAAAATTAAAACAGTATATTACTGTTTAAGTAAATGATTACTGAAAATAAATCATTGAGTCTTCATACGGTTACTAAAACTAACAATATTACTGTCATATATTAAAGAATCAGTGAATCCCAGGAAAAATAGACATGACATCCTCTCAGATCTAGACAAAATGGGACTATAATTCTTGTATAAAAACAGGAGAGCCTAAATAACTAAAACAGTAAGTACATTAGCAGCAAAGCCAGGATAACATGGCACCAGACTTGAGGCTGTACTACAGAGCAGTTGTAATTAAAATAGCCAGGTCCTTGCAAGAATCAGACCTGAAGATCAATACAACAAGCCAGAAATCCACAAACTGAATTGACACACCTACAACCATACAATTTTTTGCCAACTCAACTTTAATCAATCCTGGGAGAAATGATAGTATCTTCAACAAATGGTGCTGGGAAAAGTGAATCTCCATGTGCAAAATTATGAAACAAGACCCTTACCTTACAACTGAGACAAAAATCAACTAACAATAGATGAATCAAGGATCTAAAGCTATGATGGGAAACCGTAAAATTACTGCAGGAAAATATCCCAAGGACACAAGTGATGAAACAAAAATGAACAAGTAGATTACAGTTATCAAAAGAACAAACTCAAATGACTAAGGAATATATGAAAAAAAAAAAAACCTGGACATTCCTAGACATAAGTGACATGAAGTTAAAAGCCATGATTTAGGTAACAGCTGGTCCATGTCAGAATGGCAATTGCCCAGAGGAGCAAAAGGAACAAATGCCGATTTGAGGAAGAGGAGAAAGGGGGATGTTATAGACGGTTGGCAGGGATACAAAGGAGCACAGCTGCTGTGGAAAACGGCATACAGATCCCTTCACAACTGGACGTAGACTCGAACTGTATCCCGTAAGACACGAGCACTCCGTGAGACACACCTGCTTCGGTGTGTTCCTAACAGTCAAAACACAGAGTCATTAGGGCGTCCATCATCAGATGAATGCGTAGAAAAAATAGAAAATGGTTTGTAGTATTTACACATAATAGAATTTTTTTCAGCTATGACAATAATGCACTTCTACAATTTACATCAAAATAGAGATGACTGGAAGCCAATAATCCAGACACAGAAAGACAAACACCACATGTAATGAAAGGAGGTAAGATTTAAATAAATACACGCATATTTATGCATGAGAACATTTAAAATCCTATCTTTTTCTTTTCCTTAAAGATAAAATACAATGTACCAGGCTCACTCGGTTTAGCCACACAATACTTAACATGATTCTCCCATATCGAACTCTAGTTGAGGTCTACGGGCCTTCTCCCTCACATACTGACAAGGGCCGTCTTTTTAATGTCAGTTCTTAACAATCAATATCCAATGATCATATTATAAAACATGGCTACTATAAACACAAATAAGTCCTGACATTCGCAGCAAAACAAACCTGGGATTTGTTAAATTAAGTAATGTGTACATAGAAAGACATACAGGCTCGTTCTCTCTTCTACAGGAAACTTAAAAAAAAAAAAAGTTGGTCTAAACTGGACAAAAGGAAATGGTTGATCTGGAGAAAAGGAAATGATGCATGGACTAATGGCTACCAAAATGTAGTGAGTTCGAATTGTCAAGTTCTGGGACTCACAATACAGTGTGTTGAGTAGCATTCACAAACATTTGTTACATACGCTGTAAAGACCTGGAAGCCGGGGCCAGTGGACTTCAAAGGCATTGACACACACAGGGAAGCAGATGCAGGGCCTCATTGCCTGCACTGCTCATTCACTTCTTTATTCATGTGCTGCAATGGTTGCATCACACCCACAAAAAGGCACAACTGCCACATGAAAGTCAAAACTTTGTTTACATAGTTTAAAAAATAGAAAAAGAAGTATTGACTTTAAGTATGCCATACAGTAATGCTGCTAAATAAATCATAAGATAATTATTGATGAGCTGAATTCAGCTTTTAATAAAATTAAATATTCTGAATATTCAATTTCTATGTGAGACAAATCTGACCAGTACAAACATTTGTAAGTTAATTTTTGCTTGATATTTTGCTTAAACATGTTCACAGACTTTATATCAGTTAATGTCTTTGATTCATAGCAAGTTTTAGTATGAAAGGAAGGAAGTCCAAATATGACTAGAAACAGATTCATCAAAATGTGTAAAACTATTTTAAATAAAGAATCAATTACAGTTACATGAAAATATGATTAATAGTGTTTCTGAGGTAATGAATAAAACATTGGTCTCATACAATTATTCCAACATATTAAACTCATTATTAGAGCAAAAGTCACTTTCAAGCTTCCCGTAAACAAAAAAATTGTAAATACAGGTAAAACTTACATGCTTTGTGAAATTTTTGCTTAACATCGTGAATAGTGGCTGCTTGCGTCACCTGAAATAGAAAGAAATCAGGAGAGTGTCAATTTGTTTTTCCATGCTTGCTTTACATGCTTTAATATATTTAAGGCACAGATTGTTAGAAAGTAATAATCCCTCTATCACTTCCCTTCTCTGATTTTCACAAACCTCAAGTTTATGGAAATCATCAGCATTGTAAAATTTGTTATTGCGTTTAGTGGTAGTTGTGTTACGGGGTGAGTTCATGCAAATTTCATATCTAATTTGTGGTTTTGACCTATATACAAATATCTTATTCTGTTTTCAAAATGCATGAGTCTTTCAATTAATATAACTAAGTGCACAAGAAATTAAGATAAACAAACATGCTAGGAATGTATAATGGATTGATATATGCAATAGTAAGAAACATTTACTACACAAAATATTAGACAAAAATTATATAAAATATCCAAAATAATGTCAAATATCAAATATTAAAATACACTAATATGTATGTGAGGTTTTGTTTTATATTATTTAATGTATAATGCTTTGACAAAATAATTGATCCGATTCAAAATTATGTTTCAAGAAAGAATTTAAGAAGCTTTTATGTATTTAAACAGGACAATTGTTTTTAAAGATTTATTTTATTTTTATTGCAAAGTCAGATATAAACAGAGAGGAGGAGAGACAGAGAGGAAGATCTTCCATCTTTTGATTCACTCCCCAAGTGGCCACAACGGCCAGAGCCAACATGATCCAAAGCCAGCAGCCAGGAACTTCTTCCAGGTCTCCCACGCGGGTGCAGGGTCCCAAGGCTTTGGGCCGTCCTCAACTGCTTTCCCAGGCCACAGGCAGGGAGCTGGAAGGGAAGCGGGGCTGCCGGGACTAGAAGCAGTGCCCATATGGGACCCCGGCGTGTTTAAGGTGAGGATTTTAGTCACTAGGCCATTGTACCAAGCCCTAATCAGGACAATTATTTAGTCTACTACTTCTATTTAGGCATATGAAGTCAAATTTTAAACTTTTTTGTTTGTCTGTTTTATGTCGCATTAAAGAGAAACAGTGACAGAGCGATATTATATACCCTGGTTCACTCCCCAAATGTCCTTATCAGCTGGGGCTAGGTCAACTTAAACCAGGACCCTAGAATTCCCACTCTATGGCAGAGCCCCAAATATTCCAGCCTCCTTCTGTTGCTTCCCAAGACACACTAGCAAAAGGAGCTGGGTTGTAAATGGAACAGCATGAGGTGAACCTGTCTTCTTATAGGAATGTTAGCTTCCTGTGGAACAAGTGCTGGCTTCCCATCGCAGCATATTTTGATATCTTACTCTGTTCCTATTAAATCAATATTACCACTGAAATCCAATGTATGGGCCCAGCGCTACAGCCTAGTTTCTAATCCTCTGCTTGCCTGTGCAAGGATCCCATATGTCCTGGGATCATATCCAGTTCCCTGCCTGGGGCTTGGGAAAGCAGTGGAGAACAACCTAAAGCACTGGGACCCTGTGGGAGACCCAGAGGAGTCTCCTGGCTGCTGGCTCTGCATTGCGACCACTTGGGGACTGAATCAGCACACAGAAGATCTCTCTGTTTCTCCTTCTCTCTGTAAATCTACCTTTCCAATAAAAATTAATAAATTAAAAAAACACTTGTTTTACTTCTGAGTCCCTTCACTGGCTTCTGAAAATTCAAACATCATTCAAAACGCATGTTATTATTAAAAAAAATAGTCATTTTCTTTGTATATACATTGGGTATCGATAAAGTATTATAAGCTAAATACACATATGCATGCACATTTGATATTAAAATTTCTCTCTGGCTATTTTACAGGTGTTAAGTAAAAATGCACAAAAGGTCCACAAGTGATGATCACTTGGGTAGTTCTTCTTACTACTACTGTCGTGTTTAATACTCATTATCAAAACATGATAGCAATATATATGCATACATACTTTACTAGATTCTACCTCCCGATCCACAGCACCATGACCCAAGTGTACAGCGCTATTCAGATATTTTTTTTTTATTTCTTTTATACAGACTGCTTATGTTTGGGAAGGCTCTAAGGTCTTAGTTCATTAATATTAATTCCCACTTGAGTTATGCTGCAACTAATGAAGTAATCATTGAGTATTCTGTGTGCATAAAGTCTTCGCACATTTCAGAGCGTTTCTCTTCTCTGAAATGTAAGTGAAAAATGACTTAGACAAGGGTTAGGTTTTAACACACTTGCACTTATCTTTTCATTCTGATTTTGACTAATGATCTTGATATTTCAATTACATTTTAACACCGTGCCTTTAAAAATACTGCTCACGGTTTAATCTCAATACTTAATTCAGGATTTCGCTTTACTGCTTCTTCTCAATGACATGATCTAAAAACCTGGATGCATTTGCCCAAAAAAATAAACATTTGTGAGGGATCTGTCAGTGATGAGACAATAATTTTGAACCTTCAGGTGTGATTTGGCATTTATGAAAACTATCTTGTGTATAAGCACTGAATGCTGAATTGGTGAGTGTCCCAAGGATATAATGTAACATTCCTTTGGATTAGTTTCAAAATGTTGTATGTAGCATAGCATATAATAAATTTCAAATTAAATTTTGTACTAGTCAAAAATAAAACTAAGAGGAAAAATCTTGCATGAAAAGTCACAGAGATTGAAGCCGATTAATCTCATGAGCAAAATCTTCAACAAGCACATTTTTATGGAAATCTGTATGTTTTTCTACAGACTAGAAAAATTTAAGTGGCATATGCATTTTTTCCTGAAATATTGTCTTACAAGACTAAAATGATGCTAATCCATTCAATTTTATTTGTTTAAAAATCATTTTTTTATCTCCAAAAATTTCTCTTTCTGAAGTAATATTTGGAAAAACTTCAGAAGAAAGAGTTAAGCTCTAAATTATTTTGACGTTTGATCAATTAGCCCTGAGATTCTGTTTGCTCTACTCTTTCTGTGCTTTTCCTGCACTTGGAAAGCAGCGGGGGAAAGAGGGCAGCCAAGCTTGGCCGTGGGGTGGCTCAGTGGCCTTAACTGGGAGCTTGCCAAGCTGTGTGCAGAACTGAATCCTGAGGGTCTTACTACATAATGTAAGGAACATGTCAGCATTTCAGCAATCATTCATTTTCCTAAATCACAAATAAGTTTGCACATGTTAAACCCCCAAGTCCTCTTCATTATATACTGTTCACTTTTGAGGAAATTAATCTTGGAGTAACCCAGTAGACAAGGCAAATGATGCTCGTTAGTTGAACCAAAATTCACTTCTGAAATTTAACTGATTGCAATGCATATTGATTCATTGTTATTCTACCACACTATGTTTAAGATGACAGACACAGAAAGTTCTTCTACATCAAGGCAAATCATTACAGATTTGACTGAGTTCAGCACTAGGAATGTGTGTTTCACAAGAGAGAAAGACATGTTTCTAAAATTGTTGCATTTTCAATGTGTCCTTAAGCCCCTTAGGAACTCTTAAAAATGGCAGCTGCATGCAAAGTACTGTTGATCCCTCTTGGCAACATGAAAATTAAACATTGAGGAAAAGCAATAAATACTGTGAAGGAAAGAAGTCTGTCGAAATGTAAAAATGTAGAGAGAAATATAAAAGTTAAACTGGACACGTGATTGGAAAACAGAGGCATAAACAAACACATTTTTGCATCTACATACGCTAAAACACAATCCCCTCTAGACTTTGTGTCATTGGCAAAAGCTGTAATTCTCTTGCTAATATTCCGCACATGAGAAGCGGCTTAGAGAATGTAATTAAAGGATTCTAATTCATAAAAATAGAAAAGCAACCTCTGAGCAATTTCATTGTTAAGTTTTATATTTAATTATATAGTTTAAATGTTTATTCTTAATAAAGGCGCCTTCTGAGAACGCAAGCATTCTTTTACCAATAAGTGATTCTATACTGTATCTAAAATACAAGTATAAGCAAGAAAACAACTCATGCAATACAACTTTTTTGAAGTTTACATTTATTTGACATTAACTTTCCCTATTAATAACATTAACACAACCCTATAGATGCAGAGCGTCAGTTTTATGAAGGTCTAAATTTGAATTTAAAACTGGTTTTATTTATGTGTACAGTAAGGCATTGATTTTATTTACCCATGTATACACATACACAGATAACACACACACGCAGTTTCAAAATCTGGAAATGAATAGATCGCTTATGATTAAAAAATTGCTTAAAATCATGCACTGATTTTTCACAATGTGCATTTCTATGAACTTTTTGAAGATTTATTTATTTATGTGCTTATTTATTTATTTATTTATTTATTGGAAAGCCAGAATTATAGAAAAACGAGAGATGGAGAGAAAGAATCATGCGTCTGCTGGTGCTGAGCTGAGCTGAGCTGAACTGAAGCCAGGAGTGAGGGGCCAGGCGATTTTCCTGGGTCTCCCACGTGGATGCAGGGTCCCATCCTCTATTGCTTTCCCAGGCCACAAGCAGGGAGCTGGTTGAGAAGCGAGGCCACCGGCATTTGAACTGGAGCCCATATGTGATCCTTACGCGTGCAAAGTGAGCACTTTAGACACTAGGCTACCACACCAAGCCCTCCACGAACTTTTTGAAGAGCTTATATATGTGCTTCTGTACTGCAAAGTGCCAAGTAAATATGAAAACTGATGAATACTGAGTGTGTAAGTTGAACATTTGCAGTTTATTTTTGCCTATAAAAGAATTTGTCCTTTATTATCTGTTCAAAACTTATATGCTTTTTCCGGAGATCAGCACTGATGCTAATTTCAAGACTAATTTCAAGTGACCATTTTGATACCAAATTAAAATAAAGGTCAGTTGAGTGACTCAGACCATGTAGGATGGAAAGCTTCAACTTAATTCTACAACAGAATGTTTCTGTTTTGTTTTGTCTTGTTTTTAGGAACAATTCCAAGTTTGTAGCTGTAGTAAACAGAAAGTGCAATGATATTCATTGTTCTCTAACACAGGTTCCTCCAGTATCAACATTTGTCTTGCCAAGGGTGAGTCTATTACACTT